GTTGCGTTGGCGGTGGTTGGGGAGAGGGAGAGGGTTTGGCAATGGGAATAATATGGTTCTTCCATGAGGGAGGAGTTTAATAGTGCGAGTGGGAGAAGGGTGGAAGCAAAAGGGATATTATTGTGAAGGGGAAATGAAAATGGGCGAGGGAAGAAGCAAAGATATGCTTAATGCGAAGGCCCCCACTCTTAAGGGTGCTGCTATCGGATCGAGTTCGGGTCGTGATTGAATGATTTGGATCCGACCCATATTTGTATTGGCTATATTAACAAAAGGATTTGGGTATGTACACTGTTATTAGTGGCCTTATCAAGTGGGATTAAGTGCTTAACAAAGGAGCTGCGTAAATGAAATGTGTTTGGTCGAAGTTCTAGGTCGTGGATCGTGCTCTTTTAGTTGACTGCTTTGATTCACTCTTTTTTTTTTTTTTAAGTTTCAATCGGTGCTCATTGCTGATCAAAATGCAAGGTCGATTTATATTCTAATAATTAACTTTATAATCCGCCTTTTTAGTGAAAGTGTTGGCATCACTAACCAGTTGTGAGCTTTTGGATTAAGAACTGTATTCTACAGAATGTCGATTCTTGATGAAACAAAGATCGTTGATACTAATGCACTGCGCACCTTGACAACTTTATAAGGGAAATATACCACAGAGAATTTTGGAAGAAATATTCTTCGTTGACGAAGAGAGAGAGAGAGAATAGTTTAGGTGGAAGAGCTTCGAATATTTTGCGAGCGAGGAATCATGTTCCAATATGATGTGGAGAGTCAAAGACTTTGATGGACCTTGCTCATCGCAACTTGATAAAAGATTTAGGGGCTGTTTGGTTCGTTTTTTAACTCGGTGGAAAAGTTTTACAGCGCCTCCACATCAGATTTTTCGTGGCCACGTAGGATATAAGCTTTCTGTCGGTTTTTTTTTCCATCTTTGGTTCGCTAGGGTTGAAGAAGGGAAACTCGGTGAAAATCGCCGCCACATCAGATTTTCTTTTCTCCCCCAATTCCTTCCTCAACCTCGTGAAATCGACGAAAACTTAACATTTTGTGTAAAAACGGGGTTGCCCATGCAAATAGATAGAATGCACCTGATGCATCTATTGTGGTTCCCAAATCTTGAGGCCCATTCACCAAATTAGATGGGCAAATATTTTCGCAACAAATATTTAAAGATCTATTTCTACATAAAAAGTTGAGTAATTAGACAGCACAATTATTAGTAAAAAAAAAAAAAGGTCCATGATATTTACATGGAAACATTATTTTTTCTCTTTTTATATTTAGATGGTAGATTCGAGTAGGGAACTTCTAAGCTCGAGAGGAAGTCTTGAGTACCATCCCTCAAACAATCAGGAGAACTTTACATTTCAAGAAAATCCATGAGAATTGTGACATCTTAAATCCATCTAAAATTGGAAAAAAGTCGAGAAGATATTCGAATTTGGGACCATTAAACATGATGCATGCTCACTTAACCATGATGGCGAGTGGGTATAGGCATCATGCTTTCACACATCCATAAAAGCATCTCTTCAATCAACGGTCAAATTGAATATCCTTATCCTTAATTTCTTGCACAACCAAGAATATATTTCTAATTTCCCTCTCAGAAAAAAGAATATCCTTTTAAGTCCTATTTATACTCCATTGGTGTGCCAAGCTTAAGAAGCCAAGTACATTAAAAAAAAGGGGTTTTTTTACATAAAAACCCACTTAATTTTAGTTCAAATTGATATTTATTATCTTTTTTTTTGTATAAACTATCCATGTTTGCTCACATCTTCTCAATATCACACCTAATCTCAACTTTGTAGCTCAACAAATATGAGGAATTAAAAAAATATCCTTACCCATGCATATGTAAAGCAAGTGTGCCCCAGTTAATTATAAAAAATGAGTTTTTTTTAATACTAGTTCCCCAAATCTTTCATATATTGATATTAACCCTCCGAATCTATCATATTTTGAAATTAGTCCCCCAAATCGATGTTGCTCTTGCCAGAGAGGTTAACTGTAGGTCGAGATCACTGATCTCTTACTCCTCAGTTAGGGTTTTTGGTTTTTTTTTTAAATATGGATTGCAAGTTGAGAGGGAGAGAGGATTAAGGGGAGATGGGGATAGGTTTTGGTGGGAAGATTGAGTGAGGCTTTTTTTTAGATTGGAGGGTGGGAGGGAGGGAGGATTGAGGGAGGTAAGATTAGAATTTAGGGATAAGAATTAGGTTTTAGAGATTTGGGCTAGGGTTTGAAAATCCATGGCCATTTAAGAGAGAATTAAGAGAGAAAGAAGGGTGGGGGTAGTTTGTTGTGGGGGTGGAGGGTGTGGTTTGGGGGGTGTGGTTTGGATGATTTGAGGGTCAAATGTTGTTATAACTGTTTTAGTGCTAAAAAGTAATCTCCAATCAATAGCAGACAAGTGTCCTACATTATGCGTAATCGAGCCAGCTCTTCACTTCAAGATAACCAAAGACCCAGCTCGAACAACTCGACATGCTGACATCTCACGAGGGCGACTCGAAAGGCGTTACATGTCGAACATTGGCCATGTCAACTTCTTAGTCAGCCTACTCGACTGACCATTCGACCGACATCTCGCGATGACGACTCAAAAGGTGGTACTTCTCGACCTTCTACAAGACAAGTAGAAAAGCGATGACTACCTCGAGCCTCGAGCCCCCTTTCGCTCATTGACAGCTGATCACCTCACAATAAATGCCATTAAATGCATGATCGATGCCATTATTTCTCTGTCCTCAATAGTCTTTATGACACATTGGACCACGTCGGCACCGCATGCGCCTAGTCACTTCACATTAAACACGGAAGTGACATCCTCTCTACTCGTTAGCCTACACCTGTAAAGTAGATGCTAACTTGGCCGCTAGCACATACTCGGTTGAAGTTGTCATTCTACCATTCTACTACCATTATAAATAGGAGTAATATTTTCAACAAAAAGGTAAGATATTGATCTCTACCCACAGTACTTAAGAACTTCTACAATTCAGTTATTTCTCCACTCAAGTAAATTATTGACTTGATCATCGGAGGAACAACCGGAGAATCTAACTCCGCCCTCTTACGATTTTCTACTTGTGCAGGGAAGAACGACACGCCTCAGAACCGAACATTCGGAGGCTCAGAGGACCTCCATCAACCAGATCACTTCTCTCATTGACTGTTTGATATCAGCCATCAACAAATGTCAAAACATGAAAGATTTAGAGGACTACTACCTAAAAACGGCTTAAGCTTATAATTATAAGAAACATGCCCAATTCACATGTTTAAGATGAGGGTACAATAGGTAGTTCATGTGTTTTCAAACAAGATTTAACATTTTGTGTGATATCGAGAAGATGTAAACAATTATAGGTGGTTTACTTCCAAAAAAATAAAATTTAAAGATGCTAAATATCAATTTGGGCTAAAGTTAAGATGATTTTCGTATAAAAACCCATAAAAGAAAAACGAGCCAACTCCAAACTCAGTAGCAATAAAACAAATAGGACTTAATCTGCAAAAATAACCAGGGATCGTACCCACTCGCCTCTCCTTCCTCTTCCCTCCACCTAAAAAGAACCGGAAAAACGAAAAAGAATCATATATTCCCAAAATGTCCTTCCTTCTTCCCAAAATATCCCCGCCTCCTCCTCTCCTCCCCAACCCGAAAAGTTCTTCCCAAAACGCCCTCCCCCGATTCCACACCTACTCCTCCCCCTCCTCCCCTCCCTCTCCGCTCACCGACCTCGAGCTACCCGCGCCGGCGCAGGATAAGGAGAAGAGGAGGAGGGACGATTTCTACCTCAACGTCGGCATCGCCGTCCGTACTCTGCGCGAGGACGTGCCGGCCCTCTTTCACAAGGACCTCGACTACGATATTTACAGGTTTGCCACTCGAAGCCCCTAATCCCGACGAGCTTTCTTGTCGACGTCATCGTTCGCCCTTTGACATCTCACCGTGGAAATTTACGCTGCAAACGTTTGATTTGTTGCCAGCGCAAACCGCAAGGCAAGTGCAGCTGCAATTGCGGTTGCGCTTTTGCTCGTTTCGGTCTCAAACGCCGCAATTTGTTGGCGTGTCGTCCATCGCAATTTAAAATTTACAACTGATTTTTTTTTTTTGGGGAATTTAATTTATAGGGAAGATATAACGTTCATAGACCCTCTCAACACCTTCCAAGGGATCGAAAACTACCGGCTAATCCTCTGGGCTCTTCGATTCCATGGGCGTGTTCTTTTCAAAGAGATTGGGATCGGGGTGTTTAGGGTTTGGCAGCCATCAGAAAACTCGATTTTGATCCGATGGGAGCTTCAGGGGGTCCCACGCGTGCCTTGGGAGACTCAGGGTCGGTTCCAAGGAACTTCGAGGTACAAACTGGACAGACGCGGGAAGGTATACGAGCACAAAGTGGATAACTTAGCCTTCAATTTTCCTCGGACTGTGATGAAGCCGGTAACAGTGTTGGATTTGGTTGGGGCTGCCTGCCCAACAACAAGTCCCAACTTGTCATTCTGGGAGGACCAGTTGGGGGATTCATCCGCACGCCCGTGGGTTGAACTGTATCGGGCAGTTAGGCTGACCTTAGAGCAAGGAGAGCAGGGGCTTGGGAGTGTACATAAGAAGCTTTCTGATGGCTTGATCGTTTGTTCGTGACGTGCTGATACTTGTCTGATAGGAGCTTGGGAGTGTACATAAGAAGCTTAGAGGGATAATGTTGGTGAGTTCCCTTTTGTTTGATTCTGTATTATATATTGATGATATTTTGAAAATGTATGTTACATAAAAGCCACAAATACATGTAGTTCACTCTTTCAAGTTAGTAGCATTATAATGCGCAAATTTACATATATATGAGGAGAATAATGTATGTCACATTTGGAGACAACTATCAAGAAGGTATGCCATGCCCACATGTGATGGACGCATGCTTATACACAATACTTCCATTTCTAGTGCTACTTATCTAATTCGTTATGATGCTCATACACAGTACTTCCATTTCTAGTGCTACTTATCTAATTTGTAATGTCTCAGTGTATCATTTCAATGTTGGCGTGTTGAATAATAATAGAACAGTGGCTGTAAATGAGTCTTTATGGTCTCAATCTGAGTCTCGTCCAATATTTACATTATGGGTCTAAGATCAAATTGTTCACTCAGTTTTGAAGAAACACGTTTTGACTACAATTTCTCTGTATAAGATGTTGCAAATTTTAGCTTCAAATTCATTTACTAAACATCGTCTTATCTGTTTTCTAAGAGTTCGTTGTCAACTGACTCTAAACCCTCATCAAGTACTTTCTCTTTATTGTCTTGAACCTTTTGCTCATCCTATTGGAAAAAGCTGACAAATAATTGCTGCTCGATATATAGTTTTTATTCTTATGACTCGAGTATACACCTCTAACCAAAAGGTCACAAAATTTTGTTTTAGTTTTGAGTCATCTACTTGAGGTAGACCTTTAAGTCATAGTTACTGTTGTCTAGTGAGAGTAAGGAGTATCACACTGGTTAGTGTCATAGAGAGAGACCTGAACTTTCTCACTGTTGTCATAGTGAGGGTAAGAGGTATCACATTGGTTGGTGCATACAGATAGACCTGAACTTTCTCTTAGATCAAATATGATGTATAACAAAATGCCAAAGTCTCATGTAGAATATACACATCTTGTTCTTAAATCAATCAACTATAAGAATAAATAATTTAGGAGAAAAAACTTAAATATTCTAATCTATTAAATAAATACGCATAGGTTTAACCTTTGCACAAACTGAAATTCGTGCAAACTTTATCCGGTATAAGCTTTTTCAGTTGTTAGTCTTGTTTCCAGCCAGAGGCCTTGATGGCTGTTCTCTGGAGAATAGGGGAGAGGAGACGCCAATTAACTGGCTATTATATTTGACAGCAGTTACCAATCAATAAAGGTAAAAGGTAATATGGTTACAGGAAATATATAATCAATATTTGAACTGTATTAAACCATGAAGTATGAATAAATAAACTCAATTAGTACAAACCACAATATTATAACCTGAGGTGTGTTATTTACTTCTTCTTTTCAATTGTCAGACTTCTGAGAATTGCTCTGGATTAAACATATTATCGCGTGTGTTTCTGCTATTGCATTCAGATTTTATAAGTCAAAACAAAATTCTTTTACTTCTGCAGTCTACAAAATTGTTAAATTTTCAATAATTAAAAATATGATGCTATGGCATTTACATAAAAGCATATAAGTTAAATATTTACCTGGTCAATAATTCTCGTATCAGATCTTTGTCTTCCTTCAATCTGAGAAACACACCTACAGAATCTGTTGACCGATAGTTGTATTGTTGACCAACGATGCATCATTTGGTTTGGTGTGCGGCTCGTTGGATCGGTGGAGTATTGGATAAAGTAGTTGTTAGCTCTTTGCTAAAATTTATCTTTGTGTTGCCCCGTACCTTGTATGACGTCTTGGCTCGTGTTCAGCCAAGCAGACACGAGAAGTTTATCCTCGTGGACAGTCCAATTTTTGAACCGCGTGTAAGCCTTCTTCTTCTTTGTGGTCGGTGTTTCTTAGATGTCACTTGTTGTGTTGCCGATTGCGAGAACTCATTGATGGGGTGACCTTCTTCTACGACGTATGTGTAGAATGGCGGATAGAAGGTCGAACATTCACTAGTGAGGAGTTGCGAGTAGAAGTTTTGGGAGGGATCCATGAGATTTGTAATTTGATAGGAAATTATAGAGTTTTTTTTTATAAGAGAGTTTTGTGGAATTATTTTGTGTAGTGAATTGAGAATTTATAGGATTTTTTTAACTGTTCATTTTTTATTGAATTTTTTGCCAACGGCTCTATTCAACGGCTCCGAACCTTTACCAACGGCTCTTTCAAATTGAATTTTTTGGCAGTTAAATTGGCATCATCCATAGGGTGAATTTTTTGGCAGTTAAATTGGCATCATCCATAGGGTTTTTTTTTTGGGGAAAAAAAATTAAAGTACACGTTCGGAGCTCCTAAGCGCTCCATAAAGTTGTGGAGTGCTTGGGAGCGGATGTGGGCCCCACCACAAAAAAATCAGCCATGTAGGACTTCCGAGGCCCGCTGAGAGCTTGCTGTGGGCGTTAAGAGGTAGACTGTGAGCTCTCACCGCCACGTAGGCCTTGAGAGCGGTGGGAGCTTGCTGCCCTTGCCCCAAATATGGCAAGGAAGGCCTCGTCAGTCCTTCGCAGCAAGGAGAGAGAGAGAGAGAGAGAGAGAGAGAGACTTGTACGATGGGAAATGCTGCTGAATAAAGTAGAGAACAAAATCAAAAGAAGAGCTCAAATGAATGGGCTTGAAATTTGTCAAATCTCATATAAATAGAGATAATCACTTCACGAAAGAAAGGGGGAGAAAAATATTCCATTCCGCAACAAAAAAAACATATTGATACGAGGCGCTCATAGTAACCTCTTGGTTGTATTACACCCTGCACGCCAAAATTCAAATTGGAAGCAAACCATCAGACGTCAGTTGATTCCACAGAAGAGGAGCATTCATCATCCTTATGATCATCTTGCATTGAGGGAGGAATACGTTGCTCGACGGCAGCAGTCAGAAGCGAGCCTTTCTTTTACGGTTCGTGTACTTGGTGTCAGGAGGTACAGTATGGCCCTTCTTCCTCATTTGTTCCTTCTTTTTCAGTACCCATTGCTTCCCTCTCCCCCCTTTCTTCGTCACTTTCAACCTCTTCTTCGGCCTGTTTCGTTCATAAATACCAACCTGCATCCAAGTATAACCCCCCAACACAGTCAATTTGTGTTTTTGACATTATCCTGTATGATCGAATCTATTTGTTAACACAAAAAACAAGCAAGAGAAGACGTGAGTGGGGGTTAAAATCTCCAAAACTAAAATGACCATGCATGAGTACTGCAAGCACAGTATAAAGAAGATCCTGTAGCTGTTATGTCCAGTAAATGAGTTGCGAGATAGCTTAGTCAACTAAGCAACACGAGTGGAAAAGGTAGCATCACGTAAAAACCTTTGAACCGCAGTGGAATGCAAAGTTTTTTCTTTCTTTCTTTCTTTCTTTTTTTTGCCCCTACAACTATCAGCACACAAATCATAAGGATATATACAAGGTGTTATGTGGAGAATCAGAGGCCAGGCCCCCTACTACTATGCAAGCGAGCAAGTGGCAGATAAATTTTGATAACTTATACCACATTAATCATGACATATACCCAATATTTAAAATAGTCAATAAATATATAAAGAATGAAGATGCTTTGGAGTTATCTCATCTATCCATCAAGTTCAGAAATAAACTTTGCATAATATCTACGTCTACATTTCAATAACATCTCCCCAAATTGTTGTCTAATGTGCGTGGGCATAGACCATGGTTAACAGCCTGGGCTTTCCAAGTTATATAGCGAACATATGATCTCATGCAGCAAGCTAAATCGCAAATCGCTTTTGTATGTGGATAGGTAGCAAGGAGTTTTCCAGATCAACTTCTCAAAATTTAACATGTATTCAATTTACCGAATAGTTCCGAGCACTTATTATGCATGCTATCCCCAGCTAGCACTTTATTTGAGCACATTGCTACTATGACATTGGTTTATGTTGTCATCGAGAGTTCTAGGCAAATGTACCAAGTAACAGAATATTTGCATTACATCAACCAAAATGCACTTGAAGCAGTTTTAATCAATAATGCATCATACGACCTGCACAGTATAAAGAATGTGTTCTTGAAAAAGTTTCATTCAGCTTACTGTTTGATTTTCGTCATCAGCACTTTCATCACTGTCATCGCTGCACATCTCTCCATCTTCACCTTTGCCCTTGGGGAGCGTTGTTTGTGTTGAAGGTGGACCACAAGTGAGAACAAGATAAGCCTTCCTGGCCCGCGTACTGATACATGAATGTGGTTTGAGAAACATTAGCTTGCATAAATAAGCAAACAACATTAAATTACACGAGTACCTAATGTATAGCAATCGTTATCACTGTCTATTTTGACAAATAAAATAAACTAAACTAAAATAAAAAAAATTCAAGACCAGGTATCCCAATGAAAGCAATTGTTAGCTACTGTTGTGTATCCATGTAAGATGCTATACGTGAACCAGGTAATATGAGCTTAATAAGGAAAAAAAGGGCATCCCCTTCCAAGCTAGTACTTCTTCAACAAAATAAGTCAACTGTGGATCAGAAGGCTTAAAAAAAGGGCATCCCCTTCCAAGCTAGTACTTCTTCAACAAAATAAGTCAACTGTGGATCAGAAGGCTTTCAGACATATGACATAGGTTCACTGTAGTACTTCTTCAACAAAATAAGTCAACTGTGGATCAGAAGGCTTTCAGACATATGACATAGGTTCACTGAAGGCTTTCAGACATTTGACATGAGTTTTCACTGGTTATACATGATGTCATCCCTCTATAATTCTTCCAAATTTTCAGTGAAGGAGCCCATGGACAAGAAAGAAGGTTGCCACGAGAGGTGGCAGCTGCAGTTTAGGTTCATGCAACAAAGAAACCTTTCAAATAGTCCTTGACTAAGATGAAGAGAGAAGATGATAATTTAGCTACAAAGAACTTGCATGTTTAGGTGAACCCCATAGACACAGGATACGCTAACCAGATTGACAGCTAAAGTTATGACCAAAGTTTCTGATGAATATTTTGTCAAAATTCCCAGGCTCTGAGGTGTAGATCAGTCCAGACTTATCTTGCCATTCTGTCTACTTACTGCATATATAACCACCTCGGTGTTCCTCTTATTATCACCGTAAAACTCATTTTAAATCACTTCTTACAGAAGTTCTGTTTTTCTTTGAGTCTTTTCATTGTACCATTAGAACCATATGATTCTGCACCCATCCTTCTGTCCAGAAATAAGGCGCTCTAAGACAGATATATGGGCTTCATGTCGGATTTTAGTTTAGATCAAAGGATCCACTGACACATTTCAATTCTCGGGGATACATAGATCCTTCAGTTCATTCCATTTCATCTGTCAATCCATTACAGTTATCATGAATTGTGAACCCTTTATATAGGAAATGCCATAACTACTCTTTCTTGCAAATATACAGTTCTTTCTTCGCTGTTCTTGTTTAGCCTTTCTTCCATGATTTGAGTAAGAACACAGATGTTGCTAGGCAACATGCAGAGTATTGTGTCATATTGGACTTCATCAAACGTAAGTACAACCACATCTGTCTTTTCTGTGTCATGAATTGTGAACCCTTTATATAGGAAATGCCATAACTACTCTTTCTTGCAAATATACAGTTCTTTCTTCCCTGTTCTTGTTTAGCCTTTCTTCCATGATTTGAGTAAGAACACAGATGTTGCTTGGCAACATGCAGAGTATTGTGTCATATTGGACTTTATCAAACGTAAGTACAACCACATCTGTCTTTTCTGTGTGTATGTGCATATTTGTAGCAGAAGCAATGGGAGCAACTAAAACAAAATAACAAATTAACAATTAACTTTGTAATTTCACGCGCTATTTGCGAATTGCACTTATCACATATCAAGATATATAAAAGCAAAGGCTTCAGCTATGACTAATATTATCTCCCTACCTACAGATCAAGTAGAAAAACTACCAATAACCCTCTTCTTGCCTTTATTTTTGTGTGTGATTTTGTTATTTCCTTGCTCTCATTCTTCTCTCCATATTCTTATTTCCTGTTTCACTGCTATCAATCTAAACAAAAGAAGTGTGGCACATGTGGACACATATCATTCATTAGGTGTAATACAGCTGGGTACACAGATGAGGCATCGATTAAATCATAGCCTCTTTTTAATTTTGAGCACTCTCCCACTCTTCGATAATGGAAGTTGCAACCTATTATTGCTCCTTTCCATGTCATATTTACTAAATGTCTAGTTATTTTAGCAGATGTGATGATATTTATATCTGTTGTTGTGGATCTATCCATACTCCATATGACCTCATTTGCAATTATTTATGAATCCTTCCCCTGATTCAATCAAACATTTTGTACATTAAGTTGAGAAAAAAAAACTGTAAGTTTGGAATCAGGACTTGAGGCATTGGTCTTCTATAACAGCTATTTAGCTCATACAGCCAACACCAATAAATTGTTCTTATCCAACAGATTAGATATGTATAATGCCCTAGCCCCCATCCAAAAATGAGATGATGCCAGCACCGACTTCCAAAGATTACTTGCACTGCTCGTTTAGTATACTAAGTTTCAATTAGCACAGAATATACATCCGGACTTCCATAATCGAAATTGCACTGCTCGTTTAGTATACTAAGTTTCAATTAGCACAGAATATACATCCGGACTTCCATAATCGAAAGTTCGAAACACAACCTTCACGTGGCTAAAACCTCAAGGTGCCTTGGTTAAGCTGGGTTTAGGCAGTTTCTTAAGCAGCTGTTTGGCTCATCGTGCACCACTAGACACCTAACACTTCCTAAGACATTTGTTCCTAGTATCAAACTGTACCTTTTTGCCGGCTATCAGTATGTGTTTTACGAGGCTATGCCTCTTATAAAGCATAGAATGAATTTCCACAGTTTGAACAAAACCTCTCTATAATCCAAAGGCAAGAATACATAACAGAAATAAATTAATATGAAGTCATGCTGGTATGGGATGTATGAACAGCTAATACAATGGCTTGGACAAGATTTCTTCTTTTAGTAAGACCTACCCATAAACACATATGTATGAACAGCTAATACAATGGCTTGGACAAGATTTCTTCTTTTAGTAAGACCTACCCATAAACACATTTATTACTATTATTTAAGAAAAGCCAACTTTTGGGGTTCTACCCCTATGCATATCACAAATTTCAAAAAATTCTTACAAATGTCCTAAAAAATTTCAATTCTTCAGAAATCATAGAAGAAGCGTAATTTGAAAATGTAAAAAGAAATAACTATTTCCAAGTTAATCACGTTCAACAAAAACCTAACGCCCCCATGCTTAACCAAGATCCCAAAACCGTCAAAACCAACAAGGGGTTGTTTTCGATGCATAATCTTCGTTCAATTCAATTCCAAGCGAGAACAACAGTGAGAAGGAAACAACGAGAACTGTTGCAGGGAGAAGGAAAACAACAATTTGACATTGAAGTTACCATGAATTGCGTCATAAAGATTGGTTGAAGCACATGAACTTCATAAAATGACTGTCCAAGTTCTCACCATCAACATAAGCCCCATAAAGATTGGTTGAAGCACATGAACTTCATAAAATGACTGTCCAAGTTCTCACCATCAACATAAGCCCCAATTCTCACATATTTATTCAAAAAGTTTCATAAAATGACTGTCCAAGTTCTCACCATCAACATAAGCCCCAATTCTCACATATTTATTCAAAAAGTTTGATTTGTGTTAAATTTTTCTCCATTATAATCATATGATATGATTATCAGATATTATCATCCTTATGAATATATCAGCCATTGCCCTTGGGTGTGGAAAGGACAGAATTGACAGTATTTGAATTCGGGCCCGATCGCTTTCGCCTTTATTTGAATTTGAGTCGGACACTCGGTTATTGTTTGAATACGATTCGGCTAAATACTTACGCATTTGATAATTATTCGTGAATGTTCAAATAGCTCAGGTGGCAAGATGTTTTGAACATTTCATTATGTTTTAACAACTGGAACACAATATTTTATGTTCGGCACAAATTCTTGTTTTTAACTAATGACTATCCATTACATTTTATTTTATATTATAATTAATTGGTAGGATGTTAACAACATTTATTTGCACAAATACTATGTCATGCACCCATTGCGTGCACCAGAGTACTAGTATATTCTTAAAAAAATTGCTTTTTAATTGGATTAAGCTCTACAAACTAATAATAAATAATTCGAGAGGTCAATGCTGAAGAATTCTGTTCCAAGAAATGAAACACCAAAATAGAAAGCCTTTCTCCAGCACGGCACTACCAATCATGCAGTGTAACAGTTGTAAACAACAGAGAAAAGCAATAAAAAGAAAAATCTTCAGATAGCAGTTGATTGTATGTGCATAACATGAGTAAATGCATCAGTTACCTGTGGGGATAGTCAACAACCACACCACCTGCAAATCCAGCACGCATAGCATAGGTCATGATCATTTCACTCTGGTCCATATTTTCAGCATACAGCTGCAACACTGCTCTTGCCCCCCGAGCTAGGCATCTATATAGTGAACCAAAGAAAGCTCTGCATATCAAGAATTCCAAATTAAGCACTGCTGCGGAAACATTACGATTTGATAATTAACAAAGGAAAGGTTCTATGGGATATACATACTTCAATCTCAACCTTGGCTCATGAGAAGATGTTTGAGCATAACACAACCACTGGAAAGGACAAAATAAATCGCAGTGTTAGCACTATGAAGAAAGTATAGATCACTGGCCGTTGTTGTTGTTGTTGCTGCTGTTGTCATAAATATAATAAGACCACTTAACCATATCCTACTTCACTTGTTATGAATATATGATGGAAGAAACAATTAACCAATCAGTGCTAACTACAATGGCAATAGAAAATTCACAAGGAAGTAATCAGGATCTTTACAGCTAACTTTTCAGGCATAATCATATGTTTAATAAGATCTGGTATCCTCAAGTGCTAATTAAATCCAAAGCTAGGAACTATCAAGCAACTGCAATACATAATTGCTAACATGCCATTACAGACCATGAATCTCATACTTGAACATTTGTGCCTAACAAAGGAAAGCAACTACCAACTGGACGATATTTGTTTGTTGAAACTATTTTATGATATGACAACAAATAAGTGACGGCAAGTAAAAGGAGATAAACAACATTTTCGCAAAATAAAGAAATTTGAAATATATCTGAAAATCTTCAAAGAGTAAAGTTAGCCTGTTTGGATGAAGGATAGAGAGGGAGAGGGGAAGAGAAATGTTAGGGTCAACGAAAGAAGTTAACAAAGATAGAGGAGCAAACTCTTAACAGATGAGGAAGATGGTGTACTCTGACAAACCTGAACTGCAGAGATACTTATGGCACCATCAATAACCCCAGGTCGCAACCCTAAACCCTGTGATATGATTAGTTACAAATCAGTAGAAAAGGAGTAGTTAACCAGGGAATAATGATAATAACGCGCAAGTAAACAATTCAATAAATTTCAAACATAAACTTAAGAATAATCAACTATGAAAGATGACCATTGGAGCTTGGCATCAAAAAAATTCCGTCAATTGATTCGCAAACTATAATCTTAGATCCATGTCACTCAGAGCAGCCAATCAATACAATGGCACATGTTCAGCCTGCTCTTTGGCTCAGCAAGGTGTCTCCAGTTACTCAGGTCATAAAGGATGACTATGTTTATTAGGTCCTATGTGACTCAATTAAACATCTGATTTCTCTGTCAAGTCAAAATCTTAACCCCTCCCAGGAACTACATCGAGAGCCAACTAAAAATATTAGGCAACTTATCCAAATAATAACCAATGAGATTGTTGTATTTGGATAAAAGTCACCTTCCTTTGATCTTCTGTAAAATATTTAGCCTAACAGTTCAAAAAAAAAACATTAGGAAACTACCTGACCCATATCAGCAAGCAAAAGATCACCTTCCACCTCACGCTCCACCGCAACATCTAATGTTTATAAAACAATACGTAAACAAAAACAATAATAATAATAATAATAATAATAAAAATAATCACACACCGGATGTCACAGCAATCAACAAATTACTCACTTAGCATCGATTGTGAAATATCATAGCCAATCCAGTGATGCCCATTCTCAGACAAGGTCTCCCCACTGAGCCCTGATCCGCAGCCTGACAAATAAACAAACAAATAAGCGAGAAGAAAATGTTCGAAGCATCCTGACCCGCTAAAAGATTACGAAAATATAACTAAACAAATAAGCGTTAATAGGTGCTCACAGAAGCAGTAACAAAATCTAACAACAACAACAACAATAATAAAAACTCGCCTATATCGAGAAGGAGACGAGGGACTCCGTCGTTGGGCAAGTTGAGAAGCTCCAGGGCTCTCTCAGAAATCCTAGCCTAAAAAAGGAGGAGCTTTTGAGAGAATAAATATAAAGAAAAGATTGATCTGTTTAGAAAGGAAAGGGGAGGGTTTCTACTTGAATGTCAACAATACGAGAAGAGGTGGTGTACTTGCGAGCCTCGGATTCGTTGTAGTAGATCTCCGGCGGCGCTTGTAACTCCGGCCGAGGCATCCCTACACAGCGAAGACGACGACGACGACGGCGACGAAGAGGAGATTATGGGGAGCAAAGATTGCGCTGCGCTCTATCTGGAGGCGGCTGAGGCGAAGTGGGGCTGCAGGAGTTGGGCGGCTGAGGGTTGAAGGCGGAGGGTGGTGCGGGCTTGGTCAGGGACTGGAGGTAACGGCGGTGTTGGTGGTGGAGAGGTGGCTGGAGGTTGTAGAGGAGCTTGAGAGAGAGAGAGAGAGAGAGAAAGAGACGGGGAGTTGGCGGGGAAGATGAAGGCCGGCGGCGGATTCTTGGCGGGGGTTTGGGGCAGTCGTCGGCAACGGGGTCGGGGAGCGGCGGCGGTGGTGCGGCGTAGCGGGGAGAGAGAAAAACTGAGGGAATGCGGCGGGTTGGGGAAGAAGAGGAGGAAATTAGGGTTATGAAAAATAAAATAATAATAATAATAATTACGAAATAAAATAAATAATTATGTGAAAATTATCTACACATCAAAACGTACCAGTTATAATACTACAACTACAACTGTTAATACGCAATAGTAGAAATAATGCAAAAATTTGTACAATTAAACAAGAATAATTAATAAAAAAATATAATTACTTACATTTAAATCAAATAATCATAAGATAATTATCTATCTATATCTATACAATAAAACGTAACAGTTGTGCTAATACGACAGCTGATACGCGATAATTGAAATAATACAATAATTTATACCAATAATATATAATTAATAATACTACATATTACACAAAATAATACTTGCATGGATACTTGTATAATTAATTTTTTTTCCTTCTTGCATGGATACCTCACTGAAGTTGGTAGTTTTTGGTTATAGCGAAATCTATATTTCGGATGGTGACGAGGAGCAAAAATGTGACGAGGAGATAACATATTCATTGTGGGGTGATGTCCATAAACTGGTTCTATTTGAAACATCAAATAGGGCATTTTTAAGAAAGGATCTCAAGGAGCTTCGTATGACATTGATCACAGCAGGTAAGAAGTAGTTGGAGCACGGTTGGATGATGAATCATACAGGGTACAAAATACTTTGAAAAACAAAATATTTATGTGAAACATACGCATAGAAAATGTATACAATTTCATGTTTGTTATAGACGACCATGCATCATGAACCCATCACATCCTTCAAGTTACATCTTTGAAAAGGGTCTCTCTTTTATTTGACTCTCGCCTGCCTACTAAATTTTCAAACAGAGTGGTTACCTTCCCTCTTGAGCGACAACTAATTAATTAACTTGCTGATTTATGCAGCAAACTTTCTTTTATATCGCTATGTTAATTAACTGCTTCTCTCTATAATTTCTGATGCTGAAGTTTCGATAGCAACACAAGAAACATTTGACATGTTTCATATCATGAATATGCAGCGGGCGTTTGTCCTATTACTTGCCCTCTGTAACTTACATTGTCCTATTCCTTCGATTTTGTGTATGAGTTCTGCAATAAGCAGGGTCATCGATGAAGTGTATGTCTGTGACAAACTATCTGATTAGTGATTGAATTTGGACATAATTAGCAATCTAAGCCGTCTTTGTCAGTAATTATTTATGTTGATTGCAACTCGAGCCACTAACCACCAGTGTCTGCAGTGGGAAATAAATAAATAATTAGGAGGTAGAATGTAGTTTTCGTTACTTTGTTTTAACAGTACCATGGCATGTCCCTTAAGTTTAAGCTCTTCCTTCTAGAGTTGGCCACGAGTTCAAAGTCCCGTGTCCGTTTGTGGATGTGATGCTATAATTAAACAAGAGTAGAAACAGGGGATGTCATTGTGAGGCTGAGTGTGACGCAATTATAATTTACAGTGGGAGAGCGCAAAGGAAAAAGCGTAGTACATTTTGTCTTCATCAATGATTGAGTTGCACATTTGTGCTGTTACGGCTCTGTTCATGTGAAAAGGCTTTGATACTTCTTTCTTCTTCTTCTTCTTTTTTTCTCTTTTTTTTAATTAATTTTTTCGCCCATGATCCCTCAGACCATGGTTAAGGGACGCTCCCCAGTGCACGGCCTCGGGTATTCTAGAAAATTAAATTCTTACGTGCGCTCATCAAGAGTGTCGAAGGTTAGGCATTCAAGGGTGTATTTTTGACACAATTGTTTCTAGCTCTTTCTGATACTGATACATTAATTGAAATGATTATCACGTTGCAGCCTAGGGCAAAGCCCTTTTAATTTTTTGAGATGTCATCGGTGACTATTATATGTTCATTTGTTACAACTAATAAAGCGAAGACCGAGTAGTTTTGATTTTGGTCGCCAAACCCATACTTTAACTGCGGGTCTAGCTTGTGGATGCCAATTAAGTTGGTTCTTTCCTTTAAAAAAAAAAAAATCTATTATTGTCAGCTTTCATTCTTTTCCTAGTACACAGTAACAAATACAATATGAATTTTATTGAAACACGTGGGACAAATGTAACACGATGTTTTGGAGGAAGAGAGGGGGCCAAACAATCCTCCAGCCTCCCCATTTTGTACCTACCCTCCCGCTTGATCAACCTCCACGTGTACGGTTGCTTGAACCAGACCGGCCACGTCCGGCCTGGATCACCACCCGATTGCTCGACACGTTCCTCAAAGCGTGATTAGGAAACCCTGACTCAGCTTGCAGGGAGTACAACACATGATCAATCCTGTTAGGAAACAGTAGCACCGGTGAAAAATCAACGGTCCAGGTCGTACCGTTACTTTTCACCGTCGCCCTCGCCGCCGTCGATCTCGCTGTCATCCCGTCCACCCCGTTCCGTTCCACGAAAACCCCGTCGACATCCGTGAAGCCTCCGTTTGTCTCGTCTAAACGCACAATATCGGTCCCTTTACCTCCGGAGAACAAATTATCAACAACATTTACCGATTTAATCACTCCCTTCACCGATTTAAACACAACGTTCCCACCGCCCAAAAAGAACGAATTTGACACGACGAGCTGAACGGGGTCCTCGGACACTATACTAGTGAAATCCAAATAACAGTTGACTATTCTTGTCTGGGTCAGGTTCGGTAGTTTCAAATATATACCGGTCCCCCCGAATGCCGTTGCTTTATTGTAACAATGCACCCCAGTTAGCGTGTTAGCCTGACCGGAGACCAAAACCCCGGTAGCTGCCGAGAAGATAACGGTATCTGTAACGGCATTGTCGTTGCCGTTCAAATTTATCCCGTTACCAGAGAAATTCCTCTCTCCGGGGTCCCCCCCTGCCGTAATATGCTGACCTATGTAATTCCCTCGGATAAACGTCTCGTGGCCGCCTTTCACCCAAACGCCGTCGGATTCGAAATGTACGATGTAACAGTTGTCGATGGTCGTCCTGAGCGAGTTAACGACAGCGACTCCGCCGCCGCGGTAATTAGCATCTAACATCAGGTCCCTTAGCGTGATGTACTCGTAATCGTAGCCTGAAGTTGATAGCAGTTCGGTAGCATTGGCTGCTGCTCTTGCTGATTGTGAGCTCGACGCGGCCGAGGACCACAGCTCGATCAGATACCTGTCCGTTGGGAAGTCATCGGACGCTCGTAATGAACCGCCATGGATCTGATCGCATCAAGATTCGGAGATTATTGTGATTTAAAATTCGTCGGGTAACTAACTATGGCCCTGGTATCGTAGTAGTTTGAAACGAAGGACTTACTCTGAAATTACCGCCTCCTGACGAGGGTAACGCTACGGGATTACTGATCAAGTATGACCCACCGTCGAGGTGTAACTCGGCCCCACCAACGTCTTTGATCCCAGCCATCAAATCGTGATCGGACGGCGCATTGAAGGCGTCCGATATGGCCCTTCTGATCGCAGACGTTGAATCTGCACTCCCCGTTGGATCAGCACCGTAATCCGTCACGTGGTACACACGCGAGCCCGACGGGCTCTGCACGTGAAACAGCGGTTAATCTTTGTCAAGGCGAATCACATCACAACAAAAGCTTACCGATAATAATAGAGATTAAGAGAGCGATTATTTTAGCACAGTGAATATTTAAAAAAGTAAAGCAACTCTTCGATTGTGGCTCAAGTGGAACTCGTTCACCTAAAATGAATTATTATTATTCTTTAACTCGCAATAATTAAATGATTACATTTAATTTCGAGGTCTGAATTTAATTAATATTATTTTTGTAATTAAGCTGGAAAGGTTGCTAGTTGGTTGAAAGTAAAATAAATAATATTAATAATAAAGATGGTGCAACTTTTAATCATAATTATCTTTTGGAGTTTTTTTTTTTTTTTTGTATTTATCCCCCTAAAGTAAAATGTCATGCTCATTAAAATGAAGTGGCTTCTTTAAAATAGGTAGCCCAGAAATTCTCATATGGGCCGAAGGCGCGGAAAACAAAAGAAGCTAAAAAAAATATCACAAAAGAAATTCTTGTTATCTTAAAATGAAAGCTAGGAACTTTGGAGATTTCAACAAAAAAAGTTGAATACAACTTTTAAGTGGCCCAGACAAAATTATGATCTGCACTCGAGACCTTCTAACCAACTTTCTTGCTTAAATATGAAGAAAAACATGAAAAGGAGAAAATAAAGGAGGGGGAAAAAAAAAACAAAGATCGATCTTAGGAGCCGTTTGCTTGGAAAGTAACCTCTAAAAACCGTCACCTTGACTAGTTGTCGTAATAAATCTAGAAAATTTTACACACATAAAAAAAATGCAAAATCCCTAAGAATGATGATAATCATATTTATTATTTTGTCGTTATTTAAAAAATCATGGTTTTTCTGACAGCTCCCAATGCCTAAATCCCCAACAAATAGAATAAAAAATAAAAACAAAAGGCAACATTAATGATAAGGGAGTTCTACATTTGGAAATTTCAGAATTTAAACAATCCAAAGCATAACTTAAGGGATTACCCCAATCAAGAAATTCAAGAAAACTACATATATATACACGCATCAAGAAATAAATTAAGAGACAAGGGATGGTATGGTGTACCGCAGGTGCAGAGGCCGGAGCTGTGCCAGCGGCAACCTCAGCCATCACCCTCTCGATCCGACGGTCGGTACGCTCCCGGTGTTTATGGGCCCCATCAGCCCGGGCCTTTGGGCTTGCTGCACTAACAAGGCCCGTAATAAGCCCAAGAACAAGAAGAGGGAGGAATAGGTGGCCAAAACTTGAGCCACCATTTCCTGCTCTTCCCTTGATCATATCTTTTCTCTCTCTCTCTCTCTCTGCTTCTTGTTTCTCTCTCTCTCTCTCTCTCCCCCCTCTTTTTCTTATGCTTGTTTTTGTTTCTCTCTCTTCTTCATGAAGGAGTGGGATTGGGCTGTTTTTGTAGGGGAATTTAGGGAGGAGAGAGAGAGAGGGAGGGATTAAAGAAACTGAAGAGAGAGAGAGAGAGAGAGAGAGAGAGAGGAAGAAGCATGAGGAGAGGGTGAGGGGTTGTTTAATGAGGTAATAAATAAATGAAGTTAGAGATGTTTAGGTGTTTGATTATGTGATATAATAATAATAATATTCTAATGTGATTGCCAAGATATATTATTGGGAGAAGAATCGTATATATGCCATCGATTAGATGATAAAAGTGATTTATTTTCGTAGACTAAATTAATATACAAAGTCTCAATAAATAGGCGCACACAAAAAAAAAAGGTTATATATATAAGACATGAAATACATATATGTGTACGCTATTACGTATAGATCATAATACGGAGTAAAGAAATATGTGCACCAGTACTATAGTTAAAAAATGATGAAAGGTTGAAAATGAGGGCATGAGATAAGAGAAGGTTAACCAAGGATCATAAATTATGCAGTAGACGAATTGTATGTGACAATTTCATCATATATATTGCATATAATAGTCATGACAATATGACAATCTTCATGTAATTTCCTTTTACTGACATTTTTTTTTCTTCCTCTAAGAAACAGTTTTATTTGTACCACCATGTGTCATCTTTTCCAAGTGCCATAAACATGGTCCCATATTTTTTTAGCTTTGCTACAGGGATTCAAAATATGGGACCGACATGGGGAACAAACGAGGTGTCCATCTCCTATTGTTACATGGATTCAAAATAAGGGAGACACCTCACATATCCCCTCTCACATATCCCCTGTTGATCCCATGTTTTGAATTATTGGGGAATTTTTTTTTGGTTGCTATTTGTAGCCTGTGGGGCTGTGCCATGAAAGGATTTATTTATGGGAGGGATGCTGTCTCGTCGACATCTGTCCATTTGCTACTTCGTGTCCGCTGGCCGATTAAATCCTCTCAACGTTTCCCCAAAATAAGAAGCTCCTAGCCCCTCTCTTAGGTGTACTCTCCTTTTGCGCGTTCAATGTCTAATCTAACACCCAGTGACAAGTTTTTACTGGCCACCACAAAATCATCAATTAGTCATGCATTAGTATATGTTTGGGTTATTGCTATTAGCCCCTCAAATCTTTGAAATTGATGACATACATACAAGTCCCCCAACCCAACTCCTCACGAGCATCACAATTTGATCCTTCAAAGACTACATTGCAAGACCCCTTGAGATCTGAGAACCTATATATTAGCGCCTAAATAACTATATTTTGGCCCGTTGATATTTCATTTGGTTGTTTGTTAAGGCGACGTCAATTGTGACCTATGAAAAAGGAGTACCTTACCTTCCTTGGTCCTTGCATAACATTTATTTGGACCATTCAATGGGGAAGGGAAGCTTTGTGTTTGGGGGACCCCTTGGTTTTTTTGGGGCTAGCCTAGGGATAAGATAGGCTAGGGGCATACGAGATGTTTTGTGATGAATTGAGATCCTCTCCTCATGAATCTCTCCTGATATTCTCTCGTAAGCCATCCTAGCATTTCATTAATTTCATGATCGACGGCCAAGATCAACTTTTTTAGAGTGAGAGGTTGGGAGAGGTAGGAGAGATCTTGGCCGTCGATCGTGAAATGAAAGGCCAAGATTTGCTTACGAGGAAATATTAGGAGAGATTCATGAGGTAGGAGAGGTTGGATTTAAAAACGTCTGCTTTCTTTCGTGGGATTCTAATTCTTTTTCTTCATCTTTATTCCTACCTTACTTTATATAACTTCTACTCGAGAAAGAAACTTTCCTGGGTTTTTTTTTTTTTTTTTGATTGGAGGGTGCTGATGACTAGAAATTTGGAGAGCAAGAAAAGTGTGGCAGCCAACCGAACTTTAGGCCATACTTTTTTCAAAAGCCTTGTTTTCTCTTTGCTAGAAAAGATACACGGACCTCGGCAATTTAATTTTGTAAATCTCCGTGACTTTTTAAGGAGCTCAACAAGCAAGGGTGAGAGTCCACAATAATGGCATTAAATGTCTTAGAATCAACATATAGTCCAAGTATAGGTGGAACAATTAGTGATAGAGACATAGAGTTACCAAACTTGGCACAAAAATCCCTATGTTTTCCTACTAATAGCTTGGAATTGAGACCAACGGGGCATGGAAATGGGTGAAGTAGGTTTCGGTTCAAACTTGTTACGCATCCAATTCCCTACCAAACTCCTATATCTAAATATAATTATATATATTTAGATATAGGAAAAGCTACATAATTAAATCAGTAGAATTTGAGAATATGTGATTGAAGCGGCATTGGTGCGATTAACAACAAATTGTGGTGCCCTTTAAATTTTTCCTTTAAACATTGCCTGCGATAATTTGGTAGGGATATCTCAAGGGAATTAAAGCTAAGCACCCTCATTAATTGCGGATGCTTATTATATTAATTAAGCTGAGATATTAATGATGTGATGATAGTAAATGATCAGTTTCATGTGTCAGCATTTGGTGGCGAGGGTTAATTAAGGAGGCAGTCGTTGCCATGGGGGAGGAATGAGTCACACAGTAAGATTATATATGTTACTAGCTATGTATATGAAATTAAAATTAGGTATGGAAACTCATAAATGAACTCATTTAGAGTCATATGAAATGGATATTTAATATTTAATACCTGTATTCAATCCGATACGAATATGATTTTTTCCCCTTTTCTTTTCCTTAAAAAAAAAAATCAGATTTGGGATATTCTTGCGGATATGAAAAGCAATTTGATGATTCAAAAGTCTCATTCATGATTTGTGACATATTTAAATAATTTTTATATTACCTTGTCATATGCTTTTTTAGCTTTTACTTTCTTTTTCACCCCCCCCCCCCCCCCC